ATAGTTACCCCTCTCCAAAAACAAGGAGTCAAAACTCTATAAAGGGTAAAAATGGGTTTTAATACCAGAAATGCTTGACAAAAAATTTATTACCAGTAATATATTTTTGAAAAAAAAATTACTGGTTATGCAATTCAAAAAAAAAAGAAAATATTACTAGCTATACATTTTTTGAAAAAAAAATATTACCAGCAATACATTTGAAGGAAAAAATACTACCAGAAATAATATAAACCCATTGAAGTTGATTTGCCGTAAAACAAACCAAACAGAAAACTTAATGGTGTGTTCCAATCCACCACTATTTTCATTTTGTGATATGACGTATTGTGAGTGCACCGTGGTCATAAATTGAGATACATGGTCAGCCACAAGAGTGATTATTTGAGACAGACAACAGCCATGTCTGCAGATATCTTGTCTAGTTTCTCTTTAGTGCTGCTTGGTTGTTGCTCACCCTGTTTCCAGTGAATCTGAGTTTGTATTTTCATTTATTTCAGTTTGTTACCGTCTTCATTCTTGGCATCAAGACTCATACATTTGTTATTTCCTTTTATTTCTCTGCCTTTCTCTCTCTCTCTCTCTCTAAAACAGCTACAAATGGATAGTGAGTTGGAGCCTCACTGGGTGCTCCATACTTTCAGCCTTGTGCCACATCTAAGCTACGCTTAGAAAATCAGTATAGAGGAAAGTTGATCAGAACAATTACCATGAAAATATTTAAAGAAAAAGCACAAGGAAGCTACATTATGGCAGTGGAAAAGTGATTTAAGCTGAGATGTCAAATCAGGATCAATCACATTGAAAATTCTTCTTTGGATTTTATCAAGAATCTCTAAATATATAGCAGAAGCACCACACCATGTGGCAGCAATATAACTGTTAACATTTTGTTATAAATTGTCTTCGTTTTTGCTTCATTTCGTCTGAGTCACAAATGTTTTTAAAGATCGCTTGAGCTTCTTATTCTAGGATTGTCTTAATCATGTTTGTTTTCTCATAGAGCCGACCAGCTTAGACCTCTTCACAAAGCTGCTTTGATTTCTGTCAATCCTGATCATTTATTTGAATTCATTCTGCAAGCAATTCTCAGGTTTGCAAAGAGACAATGAGTTAAATGCTGTTTGTTCAATAGTTCCGAGTAACCCTTGGGCAAGGTCCTGTCATTGTTAGTAACTGCCACCCCCACCAACTCCTCTTCAAGGCTCTAACACTGCTGAATATTTTAATATTTGAAAATGAAATTTGAAAAATAGGCATAAAAAGAAAATACCATGGCAATGTTTTTGTATGATCACCAAAGTTAAGCAACACATCAAGCCTGGTCAGTACCTACGTGGGTGACAGCTTGGGAATACCAGGTACTGTAAGCATGGGTATATTGGTGCAGAGGATAAGTACTCAGAATTGGAAATCAGTGAGCTGAGATCCAATTCCAGTGAAATTCATTATATTCACTTATGTACAAATATCCTTGCGAAAGATATGAATCCACTTCTTCTTCCAACAAATATGGGATAATTCATAATACTTGTAAAAGTAAAATCATTATTATCTCAAAAAAATTCTTACAATCTAAAAATGATTCATGGCTTTAAATAACCTACAAAACGTTGATAAGCCATAAAAACAATCAATCAGGGTGCAATAGAGAAGTTATTGGCTAAATTACACAAAAATGAAAATAATACTAGCATCTCATTTTAACAGATATGTTTACCATAATTGCACAAAAATCTTGAAATACTAAAGAGTAAATTTATTCAATAAAATCACCATTGGCTTCAACCATAGCCTCCAGACATCTTCAGGATCTCCTGCATCTCTTTTGGATGGTCTCCTTGACACTGCTCACAGTGGTGGTCCATGGTATCTTCAGCATCCTTCTGTAGAACCGCATTTACCTTGTTTATATAAAGTGACCAGTTGAAGCAGAAAGATCGGTCATAGAAAGATATTGTTGAAACGTTCAAGCTTTCCATACTGTTGGTGATGGTCAGACAAAATGGCTTCTTTGTTTGATGAAAGGGGAAACTTTCATCCTATTATTCAAGCTGCCATTCTCTCTCCAGCCAAAATTTCAATTAACAAGCTGAATGAAAACTCTGAGTTGTATTTTGACGTCCTAACTGCAACACAAAATATAGCCAGCCGACAAAGACTAATTTATTGGATTGATTTTATGTCAAACTAAAATTATTACACTTGCCTAACATCTGTCTTCATCTTCATATGATGAATGCATCAGTATCTTCTAACTCAAATTTGCCACCGACAATCAGATATTTGGCTATAAGCATTTTATTTTCTGAATTGGTTGTTGGTATTTTTCTTGCCACTTAAATTTTTTTACTTATATTTACGTTATATTTTTTTTTTTTTTACAGATAAACGTAGCCTTTCCCAAAATTCTTTGGATGGATCCCAAAATCAAAGGGTAAGTGATTTCCCTCTTTTTGCAATCACTTTATACATAAGTGATTTCTTCTTGGCTTCAGCCTACAGCCATATCACATTGAAACACCAGTTCTCATATGATCACCAAAGTTAAGCATCATCAATATGTTCAGTACCTTGATGAGTGACCACTTGGGAATATCAGGTGCTGCAAGTTTAGATGTCTTGGTTGTGTAATGGATAACATCTTGGAATTGGATCAGAATTCCTATTTCTAATTCCAGTCAGCTTCATTTTACGTGCAAATACCTTTGGGAAAGGTATGAATTCACCTTTTCTATCCCAATGTATGTGTTAAGTAGTAGGACATGTATCAGTAAATCATTATTATCTCCCCCAAATTCTAAGAATCTAAAAATATTTTTGGGCTTTAACTAATCTGCAAAAAGTTGATAAGCTATAAAAAAAAAAAAAAATCAATTTTCTTGGCTTTTGTTTCCTTTTTTTTCTCTCTCTCATGTGTTTTGTGGTTAGTTGGTTGACTGTGATATATCAAAACTTGTTTGGTTACTTAATGTCTAATTTTTAATGTATGGATGAACCCAGTGAGGATGAAGCTCATTAACTCAGTAATAATGCTCAACCAGACTAGTCTTGCTTACTAACAAAATGCCATGGGTTTCGTGTTCATTCATTTGTGTGTGTGTGTATATATATATATATAGGGAGTGTCAAAAATACTTTTCCAATCTTTAGGGGCAGGTTCCTCACACCTAAACAAGGACAAAAGTTTATATAAACATATGTCTGTAAATCCTTCACTTTTGATTTATTAAGTTTAAAGAATGTTTATGGTAGAATCAGGAACCTGACTCCAAAGATTGTAAAAGTATTCTTGGATTGTATAGTTAACAGTGTCTACCATAAATTTTAAGCTTAATAAATAACTCAAAAACAAAGGATTTGCAGACATATCATTATATGAACTTTTGTCCTTGTTTTGGTGTGAGGAACCCGGAAACAAAGTTTGTAAAAGTATTTTTGATACACCCTCTATGTGTGTGTGTATATATATATATATATATATTATTTTCATAATTCATCATGTTTAGAACCAGAATCCTCAATGCACACCCAAGCAGAAAAGCCCTGGATGGCCATTAATTCAGAATCAAACCAAAAAATTATTTGCCAAAAAACGGTTATATGGGTTATACGAATAAAAAGTGCGCAATCTGATTTTGAATAAAGAAAATTAAGAGTAACTGAAAACATGAAATTTGGAAGAAAAAAAAAAACCTTTCTGCTTCTAGTCTCTTCAGCATGCATGTATGGCTTTATTATTATTATTATTTTTAATATTATATCATTATTAATGATTCCAACACAAAATAACATCAATTATGAAAACAGCCACAATGTGCTGACCATGTTTGGAAAAAGAAAATTCCTATAACTCTAGATACATACATAAAAAAATATCCATACATTCATTTAAAAGCTAAAATGATATCATTCTTCATAATGGCTAAAAGTGTAGCCAAAAGCACTTGGACATACAGAATTTTCATACAATTTCTATATAATATATGTCCAGAAAAGAAAAAAAATATTATGTAAGAATACAAGAAAGATTAAATCACAAACTTTACTGCAGTACCTTGTTAGTCATTTTTAATGAAACTTGTATAAAAGAGGGATTGCTACCCAAATACACACACATCCACACACACACACACACATATATATATATGTATTTGTAAAATAACTTAATTTTGTATGTGCAGACTATATATATATATATATATATATATATATATATATATATAAATCAGTATATAGTAGTATACAGGAGGTTGCAGAGATTAAATGTGTGAGAATAGACTGGGTATAGGGAGTATTGAGGAAAGGATAAAAGCTGTACAGGGTTCAAGAAGATGGTAATTGACATTGCATTTGAATTTTTGAAGATTGTAGTTTTCAAGAAAGCAAGTAAATGGAAGAGACTTCAACAGGAAGTGTGAGAAAAGAAACTGTTGGCATAGAACTATTTTGACAGTAAATGAATGGGACCTAAATGTCAATCTAGTAGCACACTTAAATTCATATTGTTGGAGCACTAGGGAAAAAAGCTCGTAAGAGCAGTTGCCATAAAAATATTTGTAAAAAAGACAGCGGGAAGCCACATCACATCTGTAAGAATGTGACTGAAGTCAAGATACCAAGTCAGGATCCATTACATTGCAGATCTTTCTTTGGATTTTGTCAAGAACCTTGAGACAAATGGCAGGAGCATCAGGCCAGATATGGCAACATTATTCAATGTATAGCCGAATTCTAGATTTATATATGTTCAAGTTGGGCTCTGATGAGAAAAAAACCATCTGGCACTGACACTGTGACCCAACTTTCCTTGCAGTAGATGCAGCTATTGATTCAATGTAGTCATTCCACCTCAAGTCAGTTGAAAATGTGAGGTTAAGGAGGCATAGTGTGTTGCTCTCCATGCTGATAACAGGCAGGAAAGTTTCTCTATGGTGGTTAAAAGAGTGGAGTTTAGTTTGGGATGCATTAAAATTTACAAGCCGTTTTCTGCCTCAGTTGGTTACTGATTAGAGATCCTTTTCAAGAGTAGTGGCCAGGTTAACTTTGTCAGCTCTAACAGATTTACTGTTGATTTAGGGGTAAATGGTAGTGTCATCTGAATAAATGCTTACTTGGGAACTCATGATATCAGGAAAATCATTGATGGAGTTCATAAACAGTGTAGGACCCAGGAATCTAGAGCCTTTGGGTCCCCTGCATTTGTGTGAAAAGATCTGGAAGCAAGCCTATTCTTCATTTCATGATTTGATAGAAACAATTGGATTAAAACAATCATCCTGTAATACCATAGCCTTGGAGCTTATGTAGAAGATCAGCATACCAAACCCTGTCAATCACCTTTGAGATATCTGGAACCACAGTTTGAACTTTGCTATTATCATCAAGAGCTTGATATACTATTCTGTTAGCACATCAGCAATAGACCTCGCAAAACAGAATCCATATTGTTTGTCAAAGAGTAGGTCATGGGAGGTAAGATGTGTAACCATTCCAACATAGATTAAATCCTTGAATAATTTGCCAAAAAGCGATAGGATGATAGAGAAATCAGATGGTTCTCCAGATTTCCTAAAACCAGGAACTACAGAAGATGACTTCCAACAAGCTGGAAAGCAGGAAGCAGGAAGACAATAGTCGTAGAGTTTGGAGAGAACTGGAGCCTGCTTGGGAGCACATTTCTTTAGAATGACAACTGGAACCTGTCACCTCCACTTGCCTTATGGGGAGTCTAATTTAGAAATGATGTCTGAGACCAATGACAGGGTTATCTGCATATCACTCAGTAGAGCCACAGTTATAGTGAGTAAATCAGATGTGGGTACTCCAAATGCATTAAGTGTTGAGTTGAAAGATAATTTCCAAGCATGCAAGCAACCTTATTTGCTGTAGATGTCAGGACTTCAAATTGATTGAATAGAGGAAGGATTGAGGATTTGCTGTTGTTCAGCAAACTCTTGCTCTAGAACTGAACTTACAAAACACTATACATTCTCATTTCATCAGCAAACGGTAACTTTGCTTCAATGAGGAAACACTTGCACTCATTATGAGCAGAGATGAAACATCTGTTGCAATCAGACATATCACTCTGGTATAGCCAGAAAAAGTGATTCCTTTGGATTATAGTGGCCAAGTATGCAGGTAAGAACCCAGGAAATTAATGTGGTTTAATTTGGTGTTTCCTTGCTGGAATGAAAGCATTGATGCTGGCTTTCACTCAGGAGGAGACCTAATAAAGCATTTTTTAAAAGGATGTTTGAAGGGACATCACAAAGGAAATCATGGAATGAGTACCAATCTGCTCATCGGTAACAGAAAGATATTCTGTTGGTAGGAGTTTCTTGGCTGCTGTAGAGCAGAAAGAGATGTTTACAGACACTACCATCTGATCAGACTGGTTAAAAGAGCAGTGATGCATCATATGACATGATTCAGAGATAGAGGTAAAAAAGAGAATTAAAAGAGAAGTATGTCCATTAGGGTTGCTGGAGAAATATGTGGGCAAGTCAACCACTTGCATGCGAGATTGAGAAGTTATGGGTTTGGATACCAGCAAGGTCAGTGACAGTGTTTAAGCCACCGGGCATGGTGGGCATTAAAATCACCAAACACAAATATATTTGCAAACGGATGTAGGGAGATGGCCTTGTGGTGTGAAGAACCCACCCCAAAAGTTTGTAATAATAGATTTGATACTCTGTCTGTGTGCATGTGTGTGTATATGTATATGTTCCAATATAGCAGTTTATAATAAACATCTATTGCTCTACTCTGATATTGAGCCCTTTTTTAAATTAATGTTGTGAACGTAAATGAATGAAAAGAATATAAATTCACATTTGTTTATATATATATATATATATATATATATATATATATATATATATATATATATATATTTGTGTGTGTAATGGTTAATGTGGTGTAATTTTTTTTAGTTCTCATGAAAATGACAATGACATGAGGCCAGCATGTGACTTACAATGCTCATTGCAGATGCAGTAAACTTCATTGTTTTGTACAGAGCCTGGCTTGTTTTGTAAATTCTCTTCAGGTTGTATACATGTTCAATAGTTCAATTTCACTTCTGCATATATTTTTCTATATCTGCTGGGTATATATAAAACTGGATATATAACTTTAGAAACATTTCTATTTTATATCAAGTTTAAGCAGTTCATAGGGTTTTTTTTTTCTCATTCAAATGAAGTATTAAGGATTATGATTAAGATTTTATTAAATCTAATAAAGAGTTTGACTGATACATTTTCTATGTGTTTGCAGGTTATTAAAGCCAGAAAAAATATTTTTTTTTTAGATTGTATGAATTTTTGTATTATTTACTAGCAGTAGAGCCCGGCGTTGCCCGGGGATGTATCAGTAAGAGATAGATCAAGTATCGACCATCATAAAGACTAAAAATTAAAATTGACAAAGATTATTGTTTAAGGTTCACGGACACGCATGTCTCAATTAGTTTTTGTTTTTTTTTTACAAATTGGTCAAGCCCAAACTCAAACAAAAACATTGTTTTCAATCGTTATGAGTCTACCGATTGAATAGAATTTTATTATAAACAATTGTCTTGTAAATGGAATTTTTAAAGCAT